CCAGGGTGTGTGTGTGTGTGTGTGTGTGTGTCATCCAGGCAGAGCCCAGGGTGTGTGTGTGTGTGTGTGTGGTGTGTGTGTGTGTCATCCAGGCAGAGCCCAGGGTGTGTGTGTGTGTGTGTGTGTGTGCGCGCGCGCGCGCCGCTCTTCCGTCCACCCCGGCATCCAGATTCAGCACTTATCCTTCCTCTGAACTCCTTCAGGGTCACAGAATACCGCTGAGTCACCATGTAATGCTTTACTTATATATTTCTTGACTTTCTTATTCTGAAAACTAGCATCAGAGATGCACGACATCCAGTAGAGAGCGCAGAGGCTCCCGCGTGCTGTAGCGTGATCAGGGAGGTGCTGGGGAAGGGGACCGCGCCTCCGGGCCAGGTCTGTGAGGACTGAGCCCAGAGCTGCTCCGCTGGGGAGTGCTTCCAAAGGAAAGTGTTTGGAAGATGCTCGTGCAGTTGTAAGAAATCACACAGAGGCCGTAAGCGCCCTTCTTTCCTTGCAGAAGGGTGGCAGTCTCTCTCATGCTGGGATTCTGGCACAAATACCTGTGCCCAGAGCACAGGTGTGCTTGCACTGTCACGTGACCCTCCCTGGTGGCTCACGCCTGTAGTCCTAAACCACTCAGGTAGCTGAGCTCTGAGGGTCACAGTTTGAAGCCAGCGCAGGCAGGAAAGTCTGTGCAATTCTTACCTCCAGTTACCCACCAGAAAAGCCAGAAGTGGAGCTGTGGCTCAGTGGTAGAGTACCAGCCTTGAGTGAAAAAGCTAAGGGACAGTGTCCTGGCCTTGAGTTTAAATACTCAGAGTTATAAAAACAGCCTCCCCACCCGCCCTGGACTCAGTTTAATCTCTAGAGATTCAGGCAGGTAGTTGTGTAGATATCTCTTCCCCCCTCTCCCCCTCTCTCCCCCTCCCCAGGCCTGGGTGCTGTATCTGAGCTCCTTTTGCTCAAGGCTAGCTCTCTACCACAGCGCCACTTCTAGTTTATCTATGATTAATTGGGGATAAAAGCCTTATGGACTTTCCTGCTTGGGCTGGCTTGGAACATCCATCCTCTTATCTCAGCCTCCTAAATAGCTAGGATTCCAGGTGTGAGCACTGGTGCCTGGCTCTTGGTTCTTTTTCATTGATGAATAATGTTCCATGGATGTGTTGCAGTTAAACTGTCCACTCTTACCACCGTCTCCGAGCTTGTAGTTTATAGCTTCAGTGGAAGTCTTCATGTGAACGTGGCTGTGGTTTCTTCAGATGTTTAATACCAGTGTAGCAGGCAATGGTCTGCCTCTACCCTAATTTCCAAGTAGACAGCTGTGTCTACTCTCCTTCCACCAGTTTTTCTGCAGTGGTAGATACCACAGTGACAATCTTCAGAGAAGTATTAACTCACGTCTGCTTTCATTTCCTCAGAACTGGGCTAAAATATCAACATTTTGAACTCTTTTAAAGTTTATTTAAAACTTTTAAGTGTATGTAATTGCACAGCATCTTGATTACTTGAAGAAGAGCCCGCAGGCCCATGCCAGCGCCCACCCTCCTGCCCCAGCCCCAGCCCTGGCACCCATCCCCCCGGGTGCTTCATGTCTCTGCCTCAGACGCTGTCTGTCACCTGACTCATGCAGTGTATGGCTTTGGTGTCTGGCATCATTCACATACCATTATGTTTTTGATTGTGGAAAGTTCTGCAAACCCAAGAGAAGAATTCTCACACTGAAACCAGCACAGTCTGGCATAGAGGAGGTTTCTGGCAATCAGGCCTGCATGTGTTTTTGTAGCAGGGCTGGAGGGGTGCTTTGTGCACCTTGCTTCCGTAGGTCTGGTTGGCACTGTTCAGGACAGACGACATGTTAAAGGATTCTCAGTGTCTCCAGTGCAGAAGTCCACAGCCCTCCATGGTGGCCTGCTGTCTGTCCTCACCGTGGGGCTGGACTCTTCCTGGGTTTGACCAGGCTGCTGGCTTCTGCCCTGTCAGCCTAGATTCTCCTTGTGCGTGCTGTCCTGTGCGGGTGTCCTTGAATGTCCTAACGCATTGTAGCAGTTCCTGGCCGTGGTCCTCACGGTCCTCCAGTGCGCTCCTGCCCTCTGCCCTCTGCCCCTCATCCCCACCCATCTGCGAGCTGTCGTTCTTAGCCCTCTCCCCGCTCATTTCGAGCTTTTCCACATAGACACCAATCGTCGGCCACCGATGTGATGGCCTTGTTCTGTGGTGCTAGGAGCATTGCTGATGGTAAATCCTGCACTAGTGTCCTGCTGCGGGTGCTGACAGTGTGTTGCTTGAGTCATTCTGACTTGTTATTTGCAGCTTCCTGTTTATCTCTGTCTGGCAATCCTTTGTATACAGTGAATGCTGGCTGTTTGCATACTTAATGAGCCCCGCATCTGCTCTGTAGATCTGTCTGACAAGTTCCTCTCCCTCGAAGTCAGGGCCCCTGCACCTGTCACCGAGAAGTGGACCTGACTGACCAGTCATGGCGGGGACCGGGGGCTCGTGGGGACCAAGACCGGCGGATGCTCGGCTGGAATGCCAGCAGAGCCTGCTGAGAAGCTCACACAGTCCGGGGTGGCAACTGTTCATCACACAGCTGACATAGTAACAGTGACGTTTGGTGGAATGAGGTTTATTAATTCTCGCACTTTGGTTTGCTATTGTGATCTGTGCTTTGTTTTTAATGCTGCGTTGACTCGCGTGGCCATCTACTAATGGGGTTGCTGCCCCCATGAGCATGACCTCTGACCTCTCTGAGCTCAGAAGATAAATGTCTGCGATAGTATACTCATCTGTTAGTTTCCCCTGGCTGGGGCTGGAGGGCGTTGATGGGGGTTTGCCTTGGTTTTTACTGTAGCCAGTGAAGAATGCTAACATGATCATTAATAACAGTAACAAGCGAACACGCCACAACTTTTTCTCTCAGCCTCCACTCTGATGGATTATCCTGTCCTGTTGTCCTGAGTGTCATTTCTCATGGGACACTAGACAG